TCATGCTGTGATTCATCGCTGCCGTCTTCGCATGATCATGATCGTCGCGATTTTTGGACTCTGGCCCTGGCTTGCCCAGATTAGCTTCAGGTGATTCTGTGGTCTCAGGCCCTGGCTTGCCCAAATTGGTCCGGGTGATTCTGTGGTTACTGGCCCGGGCTTGCCCGACTCAGCGTCGGGTGATTCAGGGGCCCTGACCCAGCCTTGCCCGGATCGATATGGGTGATTCAGAGGCCTTTGGCCCAGATTTGCCTGAATCTTTCAGGGTGATTCAGTGGCTAAGTTCGCCGTTGCAATTCTAAATGTTTCGAGACTGAGTCATTTTTGTGAGCAGCTAGCATTTAACAGGAAATCAGTGATCTTGAATTGCATCTTATTTAGGCACAATCTTCTCATTATACTGGGCTTCGCTCACAAGCTAGTGTGTATGTGCGTCCAGAAATAGTGGCATTGGCACGCGCTGTATCCTGGTTTGAAAAGTTGTGCGTTTGCGGTGTGCTTCCAAAAGCTTTTATCAATTGATGCCGCCGCAGCAATTTCCCTGCATCACCGAAGCCTATTGAGGCCCAAATTTGCCAACGTGAGTATACGAAAAGATTCGTATTTGAGAACTTACATCGACGATGATTCTTGTTGGAAATTACAGTCATACACTCTGCTAATTATTGACAAGTTGCATTTAAGGATTGAAAGCTTTCAGTGAATTTTGGGAGGGGTTTAGGAACAAACAGTTATAATGCGCCTAGCTTTTTCGGTACAACCTAGGCACATGTGCCTAACAATGGGGCTATAAGTGCCTATAGTTTTTGGGAAGGCCTTAGGAACAAGGAGTTATATGTGCCTAGCTTTTTAGGCACAACCTAGGCACATGTGCCGAACAATGAGATTATGTGCCTAGCTTGTGCCTAACAGGGAGGGATCATCAAGGGTTTCTTGCAGGATAAGAGTTCAAAGTTGGCAAACTACCATCATCTTTGTCCTCCTCGTCGCGATGGACCTTGATTCCCTCGACTTCGACAAGGTCGCTGACGAAAGGGTGGCCGGATCTGACGCTGATGATGTCTATGACGAGGAGGAAACGGCAAAGAGTAAGAAACAGAAGTCCAAGCTCAAGCCCATCAAGACGATGGGTGTCGCGAACGAGACGGCTGAGCTCCGGAAGAAGTTCAAAGAACTTTGGATCCGGAGGCGCAAAGCCTGGGAAAACAAGTTTTTGGTTGGCAGTTGCTTGCCCAAAGACTTTGTGTACCCTACTGCTGCCTCCGAGAAGATGGCCAAGCAGTCATGGGTACTGGGGACAAAGAAGGGGTGCGGATGCTTACCATGCAATAAGGCAAATACTATGAGCGAATGGGCATTGGGAACTGCTGGTCTAGTGGACAAGTTTCGCGCGTGGTACTTGACCGAGCACCAAGAATCGCAACAACATGTGGCGGCTTGCAAGAAGTTCCTTGGCATTAGCGAAAGTTATGAATGTGGCCCTTCCCTCTCCGAGTTTGAGGACCTGTTCAAGAAGCTGCAGCAAGGATCGTCGCTACGAGGAGACATGTCACAAAAATTGCTTTTTGATATTTCGATGATTTTGTCCGTTGGCAAATTTTGACTTAAATTATAATGGTTCCAATCAGATGCAATGCTTGTCAGCCGAGGTTGTTTGGATGGCCAATGCTCAGACAAAGTCTCCTTGATGGCCTGGTGCCTGAACGAAACCATCATTCAGAAGGATCGGGACTTTCTACGAAAAATGCCCCACGATTTCCATAGCCCGCAATGGGAGACGCCAAAGACTCCTGGTGCGCTTCGGAGGTGTTACGGATCCTGGGATTGAAAAGTCATGTTGCTGTTAATTTTAATTTGCTTTCAGGGAACTCGGCTACTTTCGGGGAACTCGGCTACTCAGGACTCATTTCAGATCGGCTATGGCATCATCGGCATGATCAGAGGCTATGGTGAAAGCACAGGAGACATCGTTATTTGGTTGCACAATGGTTGAGCTCTGTTTCTGTAATTATTTGATTTGTTGTGTGTGTGTGTGTTTCTTTGTCTTGTTGTTTCCTTTGCACTGTTCCTTCTCATTATTACTCAAGTGCCTTTGCGTTTATATACTTATTGTTGCTCGTCGTCATTGTATCTTTCAAAGTAAACAGTTGAGGCCAGGGGGACACGCGCGGTGCTGCAGAACTTTTGCACCAAGTTCCAGAACCCACCCAGGCGGTATGAGGGACTCCTGAGCTGGATACAGACCTTTATCAACACATCAGAGAGTCTATTGAAGTGGTTCTCTCTGATTCCACGGCAAATGAGATTGCGGCTAGCAATGTGAACCGCGGGCGTCGCGCCCTTCAGATTGAAAGTGATACTGCAGATACACTCTTGCCCAATCTGAAGTTAGTAGCTCGTGATCACGCTCATTCCTTCAGGCATGTTCTGCAAAGACCTTTCAAATCATCGGATTACTTATGCCAGTTGATGGATAACAACGTGCTCCATGGCAACTCGATTGTGAGGGTGATCGATGGAAGCTTCGTCTTTCGGCAGTGGTTTGAAATTGAAGTGGGGAAGATGGGTGGCACAGCTCACAACCTGAAATCAGACTCTTGCCATGGAAACAAGTAATCCTGTTTGTGTTGAGTGGCTGGTTTGATCCAATCTTCAAGTATTAGTGTCCCAAGTTTTTTCAGTTTGGTTTCAAACAAGGCGAAACACCGTTTTGAATCCCACACTACTCCATTGTGCCGGCTTCTGAGCAACCTGCCTGCTGTGATTGCCGTGGCACAGCGAATAATCCAGCAGCGGCATGATGCCACAGGTGCCTCCATCAGAAATTGGTTGAACTCACTGACTTCTGAGCATGTGCTGCAGCTCAGCATGTTGGCAGACTGCACTGACGAGGCTCTGGTCCTCCTCAGGCTTGTCGATGACGAGCAATGCGACAGTGCTGAATTGGGAAATTATGTCCAAGGCTTTGCAGACCGGATTCAAGCTTTGATCCTCAACAAGCTGATTCTGGACACCGGCTACACCAAATTTACCTTAGACACGCTATCGGAAGGCAAGGTTGCTTTCTTCGCTTCCGGTGATGCTCGACGGCTCGGACCTTGTGATCAAGAGATGACGGACCGATGCTTGGACCACATGAAGGTTTGGGTTCGATTGGCCCTGGAAGTCTTGCGGACGGAGTTCCCTCATTATGGACTATTTAGCTCATTTGGGGTGACCAGCCTGAAAATTTACATAGTTTTGAGGTTTCAAGTCTGAGGCCTTAGGCCGTTTTGGGATTCAACTTTTGAGTTTGGGTTTCAAGTTTTGGAACGTGCTGTGTGGCCAGGTCTTCTCGCTGACGAGCTCTTTGGCCAAGACAAGAACATTCTTCCAGAGTGCTGAGAATGAGAGCATTGACAGATTGGCCAGCTTCTTCAATGTGAGCTCCGGTGGACTGAAGGATCAACTGGATCGGCTCCGACCTTTAGCCCAGAAGCATTGCAAAGAAAGCCATTCCAGCGCGAAAGACGCTTGGGTAGCCACCATGTTGGCTACTCAAAACAGGGGATCAATGAAGGACAGCAGCAAGGTCAAACTATGTCTTTGTTTTAAAAATGTTGCGTTGACTAGATTGATTGGATCGAATTGTTTTAATTGATGTTGAAATGCACTTTATCAATTAACCATCTATGAGCGTGCCTTTCTTTTTTGAAATTTTGAAACCGCATCACGTTCACAGGAGTCTTACCCCATCTCAGACCTGGCCCCAGTGATGTACCGATACCTTGCTTGGCAGGCATCCACGAGTGGGGTTGAGCAGAACTTTGCAAAGTCCGAGAGAATGAAGACGTGCGGACAAACACCTGCATCCGCAGAATTTGAAGACCGGGCCTTGCGAATGTTACTTTGCAAAACAAGCCAGGTGGACATGAATGATACAGTGAAGAAGGCTCTGCAGTTGTACAATCGATGCCATGTGGGTGCCTTGAAGTCTTATCATGTTTGTTGTTTCATAGGGCGTGGTTATTCTGGCCACTATTTGTATGTTTCATTCATCTGAGGCACCACCCGCACGCATGTGAAAAAGAGAGTCGACAAGTCAGTGAAGCGCCCTCCTGGACCTGACGAAGATCCCCGCACAGAGGCTGGCTTCAAAAGACTGAGGCACAACCAGGTGAACGACGCTATGCTTGGTTTGGATGATGCCTTGTCGTTGTCCTTTGACTTGGATTTGAACCCAAGTCAAGATAGCCAAGTGGCTGCTCTTTGGGGCGAGGGTCATGAAAAAGAGTTTCAGTTTCAGAAAGGCAAGCAAACCCGGCGGGTCGTTGAGGGCTTCCGTGATGGCCTGCTGGATGAATCAGAAATTGATGAAGCTGATCTAGCCCTCGCCTTGGAAAAGGAGAAGAAGCAGGACAAAGAGCTGGTGCGTGGGAATAAGTCGTTCAATGAGATGGCGTCCAAGATGAATGGCCCAATAGATTGGGACATCCTGACTGGCCAAAAGATTTGGGTGGATTCGACCCTGCAGAACGATCCTGAAGTAGAAGTCTCGCTGGTGAAACACAACTTATTTGCAGTCACTGAACGCAAAGAAGCAACTCTTTTTGCAGTCCCTGACTGCACCACCTTGTCAGAACGCGTGAAGCTCTTTGCCGCTTTGTTCGGCCTCAGAGTCTTGGGTGGCTCACTTTTGCAAGGTAAGCCAGGCTTTCTTGTCAAGTTCAAGGCATCCATCAACACAAGGCAAAGGGTCTTCTTCAGCAGCCAGTTCCATCAAAAACATCCAGACTTTGAGGGCACAGTGATGCGTGCTTTCAATGTTCGAGGCAGCAAGTGGAAGCCGGCAGATAACAGGTCCGATGCCACTATCAAGTTGGTCACCACGACTGAAGCTGCGCGGGCCAAGGTTGTTGGCGGGGATGATGCGGGGCATCATTGCAAGTCCTCTTTCTTGGAAAGTCTTTCCAAGATGGACTTCAAGAACTCTGGTTACTACAAGCCGTAAATGCGGCATACAGGGAACACCTCGGTGGGGCCAGGTGAAAATATGATGTATGATTGCGTCATTGAAGTCAAGATGGGTTTGTTTTGTTGTATTCATACATTGTCCTGCCCATTGCATAAGTTCTAATCCATTTGGCCATGGTTGGCTGAATAGCGTTCATAAAGCTTTGTCTTCATTTCTAGAAGAATGGTAAATGAACACCTGCTGCTTTTTCATTCAGAGGCTCAAGAGCTGAACATGTTCATCTCAGACTTAATTCATTTTGATGCCAAGCAATGAACGTGCTTTTCAAGAGCCGCTCGAGCCAGCCAGCCACTGGAGCCAAACCTGGTAAAGATCAAGGTGATGAGTGGCCGGCGGTGATGGGGCGACGATGGCGGTGATGAATGTGGCGGTGATGGGGCGATGATGATGGCGATCATGCATTGAGGGATGGATATCAGCGCATGTTTATTGGATTCAACCCATGGGCAACCGCCTCATGGATATGCCGTGCGAGCTCAAACAATGCCTATCTTGCGCGCAGCTTGCTTTTTCTGGTATAGAACGTTAAATGACTTCAGAGCCCGACGAGGCCCGGCTGATGCCGGGCTTTATCGGGCTCTGAAGTTACACAAGCTGAGTTTCTGCAAATTCACAATGTCATTTGATGACAAAAGCTGATTCTGCAATTCTGCAAATTGTTTCTGCTCTCAAAAGCCGTTTCTTAGATCAAGCCGATGTCATTTGAAGAAGTCAAGCCAAGTTGAAAAAACACAATTCATGGCAGTTCACGGCATACTTCCGTGATACTTA